TGGCTTGCTATCTTTGAGATTCCACATGGTTTCCTCCTTTAAGTCACACGATTATGTGACTCTTTAAAGCCTCTTTTGGTGACTTCTCTCTTCCTTGCTTTGGTTTTGGGTTTTCTTGCTTCGATTTATTGTTTTTCCTACAAAACCTAAAATCGTCATCTTGTGCTTAAATAACATGATATTATATAATAATTACTAGAAATTTTAATGTATTATAACTTAAAAATCATGTTAATTATGCACTCATCGATAATCCCTAATCCCGGTTACCAAATTCCAAGTCTCTCTCATGTTATTTTATTAATTAGTAGGGTTAAGGCCAATGCTCGTTATTTTTTTTTCTTTTGAGAATGTCTTGATCGATTTATTTTAAAGCTACTAAAATTCTAGGCCTCCTTTTCCGAAACCAACAAAATTGTACTTCAAATTTAAAAAGAAGGGCCATGTTCTCAAGGATGACTTATTATATTGGTTATATTCTTAGGACGATCTATCTTTTTTTTATGATCTTATTCTTAACGGAGACTTACCTTATTAATCATATTGTTATAGGCCACCGACCACTTGATGGTGTTGTTTTCCTAGCTACTTGCCTTCTTGGTCATATTCTCATGGGCGAACGATCCTTTTTGGTGGTCTTGTGTTTGTTCCTCTTCATAAAAATCAACTAACTAAACTATATCCTTGTGCGAGTTCATAGTATTTTTTGGGTTATGGTTTACATGAAAAAGGCCATCACTACTACAATCTTACCACCAAGGGCACTTATGTAATTATGGATGTCATATTTTCCGAGATAGACACCTTTTTTGCACCATCGGTATCCATTTCATCTCTTTAGAGAAAGAAACAAGTTGAAGAGCAAAATTAGCATGGTTTGAAGAAAGGCCAAAGTCGGCACAGTTTGAAGAAACTAATCATAGACATGGTCATGGTGATATTGATACTAGTATGCATTCACTAAGGGTTGAACCTTTGTCATCTGAATCTATAGAGGAGGAAATGGAGGCTTTATGGAAGGATAAAACATGGACCTTGGTCCCACCACTAAAAGGAAAAAATATAGTGGAGGTGTAAATGGGTCTTCTCCATTAAACACAAGGCATTGATAGGTATAAGGCAAGGCTTATGGAAAAGAGATATACACAAATATATAGCATAAACTATCGAGAAACCTTTTTATTTATGGAAAATGTACATATTATTATAGTGTTGTAGTCTCTTGTAGCAAATTTGGATTAGCCATTAGATCAATTTGATGCAATGGATTCCTTTCTTCATTGTAACCTTAATGATGAGGTCTATATGGATATTCCACAAGGTATTACTACATCTTCAAAGGCTAAGGTTGTTTGTAAGTTACAATAGGCATCATATGGACTAAAATAGTCACCACATGCATGGTTTGGTAGATTTAGCTTGGCTATGAAGAAGTATGACTTCCTATGAAGTAAATTAGACCATACCTTATTCCTAAAATACCAATTGAGAAAGATGACAACTCTAATAATTTATGTAGATGATATGATCATTACGGAAGATGACTAGAAAGAGATTTCTAGACTTTAAGAGTAATTAGCAATAGAGTTTGAAAGGAAGAACCTTGAAGGGCTCAAGACTTTTCGAGAATAGAGGTAGCAAGATCAAGATAAGATATATTTCTTTTTCAAAGAAAATATATGTTGGAGTTCGTCGCTGAAGTGGGATTATTAGATTGCAAGCCAACCAATACTCCAATTGTTCAAAATCATAAACTTAGAGAATACTCGGATCATACACCAACCGATAAAAAAAGGCGCCAAAGGTTAGTAGGAAAACTCGTTTACTTATCATATACATGCTTAGACATTGCTTATGTTATAAGTGTAGTAAGATAATTTATGTGTTGTCCTAGGGAATATCATATGGATGCAATAATTTAGATTCTCTCGTTACTTGAAGTCCTCTCTTGGAAAAGGACTTATGTTCTTTAAAAATAATCACCTACACACCGAAGTCTACACGGATACTGATTAGGCTAGGAGTCATTCGGATAGGAAATCTATCTCTAGCTATATCACATTTATGGTAGGCAATCTTGTGACATGGAGAAGCAAAAAGAAAAAAGTAGTAGAATTATCTTATGTTGAAGTAAAGTTTCAAGGAATGGCCAAAGGTCTTTATGAACATTTTTTTGCTAAAGAGGTTGCTAACAAAGATTGGTTTTGCTCCTAAAGATGAAATGAACATATTATGTTATAATAAGGTAACCATTGATATCTCTCATAATCCAGCCCAACATGATCATATTAAGCATTTAAAGGTGGATCGGCATTTTATCAAACGAAATTTTGAAGACAAAACAATCCAGCTTTCCATTTTTTAAATTTGAAGATTAGTTAGGAGATATACTCACAAAGGTTGTTTTCAGCAAAAACTTCTACAACTCACTCGGACAAGTTAGACATTTAGGACATATGCATCAACTTAAGAGGGAGTGTTGTCATGAGTTATTAATAGGGAATGAGATTATAAGAGTAGTTTATCTTATAAACCCTTTTTAAAATCAACCATATTAGTAGTTTAAGAGATTGTATATCCTTAATTAGACTTCTTATATATATATCATTGTATTCAATCCGAAGGCATGTCGTACTACCAATAAATTAGTAATTTATATTTTTCTCATGGAACCTAATCACAAGGGTGTAAATAGGGCAAGCAAGGGTCAAACTCATAAGAAAAAAGGCTCAATTGATCGCTTCTTTTAATGGAGTGTTCTTGTAGTGTAAAATGAGGGTTCCGAGTTTGGAATGCTTAATAACAAATTAGTAAATTGAAATAACAATATTAAAAAAAAACCTTGGTTGAACTTCAATATCTACATTTATTTTAGTCGCTAAGTATTAATTAAATAATTAACTTATCCTAAACATGAATATTTATCGTACGACAACAATATCTATATTGTCTCTAGTCTTTCTTTACTTAGTGGTTAACTAAATATACGATACTTAATTAATTCCCTAGCTACCGAACAAGCTACTAAGTACTAAATAGATTTAATCCAATAGCGAGCATTAATCGGAGAAAGATAGATGAAGCTAAGCCATCTTTCTAAATACTAGAGAAGATGTAACCTAATTCTATGTTTTACAAGGGATTGAACGAAAATGTAAAAAACAAATCATCAACTTCTAATTACTACCTTAAGTAAGTTTAGACAAGTAATTACACGGACTTGACTACTTATCTAGCAATAAGTTAATATGATCAAACAACTAGTATGCACTCTAATCAATTTAATCATACAACTATAAATCAATTATATAGAAAAACATAAAATACCCAATCAAGATAAGTTTAGAAATAAAACCCATAACCTCACATCGATTTAACCAAAAGCTTCAACTTGATTCAACTAAGAATAGAGTTTAATTGCTCATAATGAATTATAAAGAGAGAGTTTTCTATGAATGGTAGTTGTCAAGGAGTAGGAATCTCCATAGAATGAGAGAATAAAAATAAAATGGAACCCTAACTTTTCTATTTATAGCAGAAGGTAGGGTTATAGCATACACACGACAATCCCACATGGCTTGTTTGTAGTAACAGATGGCTTTCTTGACTAAGGGACACGGCGAGTGTGCCATTTACACTTCATCTCATGTCTTTTGTTGCTTCATCCCATGTCCCCGAATAATCGACTTGAATGAACTTGATACAAGCCGAATTAAGGTTTGTATTCTTCATGAAAGTTGTAGAACTATTTCTTATTTTTCCAATTCATTAAGTCTTGTATCAATTAGATATCCACATCTTTAATTATGAACGAAATACTAAAACCAACTTAATCTATCTCGTCCGACCTTAGGATTCCACTTTGCAGCTGAATTCCTCCATGATAACAACCTAGTTTGGACTTAAGACCTTCATAAGACTTGTAGGTATGCCTATCAAGTATTCTATGGACTTAGCATTGCATCAATTGGAGTTCTAAAACTCTATATATGGATTAAACTCCAAATTGATATGGACTTCGAATGGGATTCGGATCGGTTTTCTAAATCGAATATAAAATATCATTTGGAGGCCCAAACAAACTTGGATTTTAACCCACTATATCATTCTGAAAATATTGAGATATCCTCTACAAAGTCTTTGAAGACCACTTCTTCCAAATCCAATTCTAGGGCTTTCTAAAACCTACAAGAAGTCCGAAAGGTCTAAGTTAATCATGCTTGGACATCAACACGGTTTTCTTCTTTGTTTCACATGGCCAATAACTATTTCTTATTCCATCACACACGATCGTGTGTCTCCTTAATCTTCCTTGGTAGCTTTTGGCTTCTCCTTGCTTCGGCTTAGGTTTCTTGCTTCAATTTGACATTTTTCCTACATTGAAATGTCTATTCCTTGCTTTTGGCTTAGGTCTCCTTAATCTTCAAGTGTCTATTCCTTGCTTTAATTAAACACTTGTTAATGTTTTTGTAGCTTTTTGCAACAAGAAAAAAAAAACACTAATGATATAGCCAACACATGTTATTTATTTATTATTATTATTATTGAGTCAAGGAATAGACAAAACTCTAGAGTACTAATTAAAATTACAAAGTTTAAAAGTTATAATTCTACTAATATCCTCTAATAAGAACTTATTACACCTATAAAAGCATTCCCTGGATAAAAAAACATTTAACAAAAAAGATTAGCCCACACATGTTATGGCCATCACATTTTGATAGTGTTTGTAATATGAGTTAATCTCATAAATTAATGAATACATGCAAAGTTAAAACACCGTAGGCATAGTAAAAACGACTGTCACTAGCATTGGTCACTATTCACAAACAAATATTTGTCAATCATCTCTTAAATAGATTTTGAAATAGATTTTTCCTTTGAAGTTTCTTGTTTTGCAAATATTATAATCTACTACCTCATCTCATCATATTTTTTTGTTCAATGTACATTGAAACTACTAAATAGAATTTTTACCTAATTCCACTTCTTATCACCCCATGCATCTAGCCCTTAATTGCTTGTTAATGGTCATCAAGCACAATCCTACTTCATACCTTACCAGAACAGGAAAGACAATGTTGATAAGTCAGCTACATTAGCATCATATTGTAGACTTTAAAACCACAAAATTCTTCTTCTAGTACCTTCTCACAGAATTAGTGGCATGATTAATTTGATGGGGTTAGTGCATATGCCACTTTGAAGTTAGAACATGATCCTTTCAATAGTATTTTAGGCCTTTCGGCATATCAACCCCAACCACATTATATATATATATATATATATATATATATATATATATATATATATATATATATATATATATTCCACAATAGACTCCCTAGTCACATAAAAATAAATAAATAAAAGGTATATTATGCATTACACGTCATTACCTAAAGTCCACCACCATGCCATTTATATGGCAAGCATAACACAAAACCCCAGCTCGCATAAATAACATAAGCACCTAGTTTTGGCTTTCAAACCAGGCTTCTTGAGTGCCTCACCAGAAAGATGGGTGTCATTGTTTATCTAGACACCATACTAGTCCCTTTGAGTCTCGCCTTCATGGTTGGTTACCATGCCTATCTATGGCAGTGCTTCAAGAACAAACCATCTCAAACCACTGATGGAATTGAAGCATTGAAGAGAAAAGCATGGTTTGCACAGTTGAACGAGGTAATCCCTAATCCCAGTTACCAAATTCCAGGTGCCTCTGACATTATTTTATTAATTAGTAGGGTTCTGGCCTAATGCTATTGTTTTTCTTTCTTTTGAGAATGTGCTGATTGATTTTTTTAAAAGCTACTAAAATTTTAGGCCTCCTTTTCTGAAACCAACAAAATTGTACTTCAAATTTAATTGCACTAGTATATTCTCCAGAACTAAAAAGAGAAAACAATCCTTCCTTCACTCATCTACTAGATGATTTGCTAAGATGTTCTTCTGTCGAAACACAGGGTGATGCCAAGACTGGTACGCTAGCTGTGCAAAGCCTGAGAAATGCTCAAATGACAACTATATTAACTGCTATAATAGCCATTCTCATAAACCTGGCATTGGCTGCTTTGACCAACAATACCTACAAAGCAAGTCATCTCCTCAATGGCAGTGCATTTTTTGGCTCGCAGTCTGGAAAACTATATGTTCTGAAATTTGGGTCAGCCTCGCTATTTCTTTTGGTCAGCTTCTTATGCAGCTCAATGGGACTTGCATTCTTGATTGATGCCAATTTCTTGATAAATGCTGGCTCTCGTGAGTTCTCATCGTCACCTACGTACACGCAAACAGTATTTGAACGTGGTTTCATGCTGGCTCTTATGGGCAATCGAGTCCTATGCATCACCTTTCCTTTAGTGATATGGATGTTTGGTCCTGTGCCGGTAGCTTTGTCCTCTGTGGCACTTGTTTGGGTCTTGTATGGGCTTGATTTTTCTGGCAAGAGCATTTGTAGTGAAATGCCTGCTGCCGTGAAGATATAATTTGTCATGCCTCGAGTTACACGGAAAATTGTGCAAAATATATACATGAACCAATGGGCATGTTTTAGTATCCATTAGAATAGTGCAAAATTAATCTCAATAAACAAAATGTTGTTACTTGGCATGAACCAAAATTGCAGAATAAACAGATCCTCATCACCAAGAGGAAGAATAATATCATGTTCCAATAGTAAGTAAAAGAAATCTAACTTGGCTTTGACTCAAAATGAAGTATGAGATTTTAAAAACACCGGGGGAAAGCCTGAAATCGTACAGAATGTGAGAGCACAAATCAAAAGCCTGATGATTAGAGAAATGTGCAAGGGCCCCTTTTAATGGTCATAACTAGAGTGACCATTTTTAGATTGAGGTTGATCTCCAGGCAAAACATCCATTACAACATTAACACATCTGCAAGACCATTTCACCAAATGCGCCCAATTTCACTGCTCTTCTTTTTGCAAGAAAGATATTTACGAAAACATGTGTTTTAGGAACTTGTTACAAGGAAATTGACCTAAAGAGAATCCAGTCAACTAATTGCTTACTGAAATGTTGATGATAAGACCTGTGATGGAACAATTTCATGAACTCAAGCACATCCTTGGCAATTTAGCTTACCATCAACTGTAGAAATCACACAACCAGTTATGGAATAATCACATTAACAAGAGCATAAAAGAAACATCAATTTTCGTCTTACACCAATGCTCCAATCAAGATTAACAAAATAAAGTATCGATGGTGCAGAATATCACATGAAAAACACAATTAATGAACGAACATTCAAAGAGCCAACAGAAACAAATATCTAACTGTAAATTCATTAGCTGCAGATGATGGAAGCATATTTTCACACAACATAAACCAATTTATATGCATCGTTTCACACAACAGAAACCAATTCATATGTGTGACTGATACATTATTAATGAAGACACAACATCTTACAATTGCTGCATCCACCATCTCCCTCTTGGCAGTGATCCCATCGTTAAGTTGAAAGATTCAATTCAACATTTTTTTGTATACCTCCAATAACTGAGGTGCTTTGTCATAGCAATTCACATACTTCGGCAGGAAATGCTCTTCAGTACCCGTAAAGACAGTAGGTGTGTAAGAGTAGTCATTCTTGAGCAAACCTTCTGATATGAGAAATTGAATGACGGAGGCCGTAGGAATGACTCTCTTATTCAAACTCAGCCCGAGAAGAACAGGGTGTTTGGCAATAACAGAAGACTGGCAGCCCAGTTTATTGACAAAAAAATCCGTAGTTGCCATAATTTTATCCTCAGAAATATTCATACAGTTAGTAAATTTCTTAAATGCAGCAAGAATTTCTTCCACTGTCCAACCCCATTTCGTGTGCACATCAACCTTCTTTTCCCAAGTAGCTTTGCTAATTCTATTCATAGATATCACAGCCTTAACAAAACACAACTCCCAAGGATTTAAACCCATTTCTTTAATTTCCTCAACGATCCCTTTAAACCTCTCGAAACTTGCAACAAATACTCCAGGCCTAGAACCAAGTGCCCAAACAATATTTGATTGGGGCACTTGATATCTCGCAAAAGGTTAAATTTAGGAGACAAATGGGATTCAAGAACATAAGTGAAAAAACTCGAAACTATTTGTAAGAGTTCTAATCGTTTTTTCATCTGATTGAAGAAAATTTCTGATGAAGTTAGAGTTAGGGATGATATAATCTTGTAAACTTCTCTGCAAAGTACTGGGATTCATACATGACAGTTCAGCAAGAATTGGGCCAGAAGCACCTTTGGAGTAGAAAAACTCAAATTTGGGCAAAATATTTTTATCAGGGTTGCACAAAAAAGCCCTGGTGTTTCTTCTAAGAATTATTGAGATTTGGGTTTTTGTAATACCATGGGATTTAAACAAGTTAATGAGAGCATCAGGTTTATCAGGACCATCAAAGTGGAGATAATTAGAAGCAGATAATGCACTTTTTAATGAAAACCCACAATTCCTAATGAGGTAAGAGACTGTAAAAGAGTTGTATTGAAGGTTTGCAGTAGCAGTAGTTGAGAACAATGACGATGGTGATGGCTTTCGAAGAAAATAAAAGTCATAAACCCTAATGTTGTTGCTGTAACTACTTCCATAACGAAGAGAATAAGCTCTAGACAAGAAAGTAAACATGAAGAACAGACCTGTTCAGTTCTTGAAACAAGATGCTTAACCAATCTGAGATTGAGATGCTTCTGAACTGTTGCTTGTCTGTCTTTTGTTCGTTAATGTCAATATTCTCGTTTTAGGTTCCCAGAATCTTGGGCTTTTAACCCATTATCTATCTGTCTGTATATCTCAAGGTGTTGGTCTAATACAATCCCGGGCTTAGGCCTATAAGCTCCTTCAAACATAGAGAGCTGCTTCTTTTTCGTTTTCGTTTTCTTTTTCTTTCTTTATTAATTGGAAGAACGTAAGGTGTCTACAAATTCAGCTTGTTAAATTAAGGGGGATGTCCATGGATTCATGTCCGGACTTGATTAAAGTTGCTTCATTTATTTATTTATTTATTCTTTCAACAAACTAGATACTTCACTGAAAAATGAGCCAACCCCAAACGAAAACGAAAAGGAGGACCAAGGTCCACCATACAAGGATCCAAAAACCAGACCTAATGACCATAGGACTGGGCTCAATCATAACCAAAGAATTTATAGTGCAGTGATAATTGTTTCTTGTAACAAGAGATCACGTCCTTACTTGTCCTGGAAGCACACTTCAATTCCTTTCCTTGCTTGCCCCAAAATCACCCTAGTCATTGGATACTATGCTTGCTTTGATTTATTACATGTTGTGTGGAAAATGTAGCAGCCCATGTTATGTTGTTTATTTGCAGTGATTGCAATGTGTAAAGAACCTCAAGGACAGGGTAATGATTCAAATGTCGAAGGAGATGAGGTAAAAAGCGAGAACACTGACCAAAAAAAGGAAAAGAAAAAGGCAGGGTTCCACCCTACACTTGGTGCGGTGAAAGCAAGCACCTTATCCTTGTGGCATGTGGGGTCATATCTTTCGATTAAAACACAACTATATTCCTATTTTGATTTTGCTTTCAGTGTTTTCTTAGCTTTTTTTTGGCTAAAGGAGAACGTGCAGATATATACTCAATTATTACAACATTCTGGGCCAATGACATTAGTGGCTTATGCTTATGTAATCTACATTTAATAAGTTAGAGATGGAGAATTAGAGTAGCTAATTCCAAATATTTTGTTGAATTCAAAACCCATAAAGTTGACCAGTAAAAGTAATCCCAAGTCGACAACTTACATTGATTAAGTTAGCTATTTAAAACTATAGGTATTGCTAAATTCATCATATATATATCATAACACGTCAAATTGGTGATTAGATAATGATTAGATGTAAGGATTTGTTAGTAATTTAAAATAAATAATTGATGAAAATAACAAAACATATGATGGATTTAACAATACCCTAAACCTATATATTCTCTATGTATAGTTTCCAAACATTTGATGTAATTTTTATATTCTTTTTTATTTTTTTCAAGAATGATAACCTGTATTTTTGGATTATTTAATATGTCTTATTTAAAATTAAATTTATTTTTCAAACGATTTCAATAACGCATTCTTCACATCACATCAACTTATATATTCAGAATAGAAAAATAAACAATAACTATGCCTCCATATTATCTTTGATGTCAACTGAGACAGAATGAATATACGAGAAAAATAATTCAGTCAGGCATGCATATGTCGTATGTGTATATATAATAACGTAATAAGTTTGTAGGTCCACTATAATTAATAAGGGAATTAATGCTATCTAGCATGGCAAGCCGTATCTAGAAGGGTTGAAGATCCCTCCAAATGATCAAACAAAGTCCCTAAACTTTAAGAAATATTTCAAAAAGGTTTAGTTGTACTAACGATCCCTATACAATATAAAATTTTATTTTAGCCCTTCCATGCTGATTGTTGGATCCATTCTTTATGTCTGCAGATCATCTTTTACAACAACACTCGTCGATCCCCAAACTGAAAAATTATTCTGTTCCCACCCACCCGTTGAACAGAAAATTTTCAATTGCAAGAAGGAAGATCCCAAAAAAGAAAACAAAGTTAATTTGATTATCTTATAAATTTTCTCCTCGTATATCAAAGAATTTTTCCCTAGAAAGATGTGACAGCAGGTACCATTGAAAGATGCCATTAAAGGGACAGATTAATATAAATATAAATAAGCTTAATTAAGGTGGTCGAGCTACCTTTGTCAAGAAAGATCTGCTTCATTTGTAGTGCAAACAAATCTGATGGCTGAGCCCCAAAAATTGGAGAAGTGGCCTAGCTACCTTATTTCTCTATCACTTTTTGTCGTTAGATCAAAGGTGTGTGTGGACGTGAGAAGGGAGACCCACTTGGTTTCATTTCCACGAGGGTTGAAGCTGAAAGCAAGTTTGGACGATACAGTTTGGAAAATGTGAATGTGTGTCTATGTTTACACACAACTACTTGCAAAATTTTCCAAGCAGCCCTTTAAGGTAGATGGGAGTGACTGATGGCGAGAGGCAAAGATTATTATGCATTTCTTCGTTGTCGTTTTACTACTTTCACAGATTGACGGGCTATCCATGAAACTACTTTATGGTTTCCATGTGATGTTTCGTCTTATTGTTTACACCCTTCCACTTTTCATACGCAACACTTTTTCCCCTGCCTTCATCTTATGTACACGTATTCTCATTCAGCCTTTATCTTGTCCACATCAGAGTTCTAATATATATATATATATATTTTTTATTTTTTTTTTTTCTTTTCTTTTCCACAAAATCATCGGATGGGTTCGGACGAAAGATCTTACGAATCTAAGGTGTTGATGATGGATACTTCACATCAAAGTTCTAAGTTTTTTTCCTTAGAATTATATTTGGACAATATTTTATAAAATAAACTTTAATTAAAATATTTTATAAAATAAACTTTAATTAAAAATATTTTAATAAAATATATTACTTAAAATTTTAATTAGAAAAACATTTTGAAACATACATAGATGGAAATATATATGATATTTTTCAAACAGAGAGAATGTATCAATTATATGTATTTGTGTATTATTATATTTTTTTCAATAATGTCTTTCAATGAAAACAGTCAGACAATTATAATTTTTAGTTTGTTTAAATTCTTTAATACACGCTTAAGTTAATTGTTTTCGTTAAAACTAACCATCACATAATTTTAATATAAATGGACAAAAATAGTTGTTTAAGTCAATGAAAAATACATCTTTAAATCAAAATAATAATAATAGTCATGTATGCATATTATAGTTCCGAAATATATATATATAATGAGTATTTGCATTACTCTTTATTTTGAAGCGTTAAATATGACGAAAATAATTGGTAAAGCAATATATTACAGAGTAGAACCAAACTAAACATAACAATCGTTTGATTTTTTTTTCAATATTGATTAAAGATATATTGTTAATTTCTCTTATATCTTAAGTTTTGCTAAACCTTGTTATCGACATTTTTGAGATTTTTTTCATAATTTTTTTTTTATTCATATACTCAAGATTTTTAGTAGAATTAATTTATTAAAATTTAAATTTATAATCTTTTATGAGAGATCATTATCACTAAACTATAAATTCTTTGATAAAATTTAAAAATTACGATGTTTTTAACGTAACTTATATATATATAACCAGCAGATTTTTCACCTTTATCGGGGGAGGTCGTTTCTAAGCTACTACTAAATATATTCAGCCCAAGTTATTTTCTGCAACTTTATCTTTGAATTCAACTTTAAGATGACAATGAGCAACAAAACCCACCATCCAAACTTAGCTTCATATATATATATATATATATATATATATATATATATATATATATATATATCCCAACAACCACCCAAAAAAGTTTTCAAATTGTCGGAAAATTAAACCCTCATACACGTGATGATAGCTACAATTTCTTGAGAATGGTTGTCTCGGTCCCATTTTTCTTATGGGTAGTATGCATACACTAGTCTAATTAACTAAAAAATTAATGTCAACCACCATAATTAATTCTATTTCTATCATCAACTTGCCCTTCTGTGTTAATTTCTGTTGAAAATCTTTTATTCTCCTGTAAACGTTAATCAAATCAACATGTAATTGTTCAAATTTTTCAACTGTTGTTAGTCTTTTCTCTCTCTGTTGTTAGTTTTTTAATTGATGGTAATTCATTAAATTCCAAGCAAATCATTATTACTTTGCCATGCATTAAGTGAAGTCTTGCTTTGAACAAGTAATAATAATTCCATGGTTTGGTTTTTTCTCTTTCCGTCTTTTGTCAATGAATTCTGCATGAAAGGTAATACTTAAAGGAGAGATTTCTGTTAATTATCTCAAAATAATATCTAGTTTTATTCTTTTTTCTGTTATAACGGAGAGATTTTATCTTTCAACTACAAATTCGTCGGCTAATATATATGTATAGTTACGGTAATATTGAGCTATTTGAATTATTTTTTAAATGAAATATCTTATTTTAATTTTTTCTTCATAAACTTGTTAATATATTATCACACAATGCATCATCAAGCATTAAGATAATTCTTTTCTATTTTTTTATAATAAATAAGAAGTTCAAACCCTAGACATGTAAATACTAGGGTTAGTCAAGCTACAAATTAACTCGATTAAAGGTAGTAACGCTTAAATTAATGTAAATTACATGTCCTCCAGTTCCATCCCTGTCTCGAAGCTTTTATTGCGCCAATGAGAGCTTACCTTCACTTACATTATAAAAGACATGAAATTTATTGTGTTACGATTTTTTTGCGTACCATTTGAATCTTGTGGTCGTCAATCTTCATCTTCAATTCCATCACCCGTTGCGACATCGTACACCTTTAAAGGGGTTATTATCCTTTATCAGACCTTGCAGGTCCCGCAATTTTATTGTATTTTTCAAAAAAGCTTTTGGTTTTAATAGTTAGATATTGTTTCACAAAGAAAGATGTCTCTAGTTGTTTATTTGAATCCAAAATATTAAAAAATGAGTATTCGTGGGTCCATATGACAGTTTCGCTAACGGGTTAACAAGCAGGGATCAAGAAGGTAATGCTTTTTGTGGGATTCGGAGGCAAAACTTCTTAAAGGTCTTCAAAATATTGGATGAAGTACTTAGGTCCATTAGGTTTTTTTATCGTAACTCTAGTTGTTTATTTTATAAATAAAAATAATAATTCATGTATTTGAAGTCTTCACTTGATAAAATCCTAATAAAAATTTTTAATGTAATCGTGAAATAGATATAATTACCGAACCATATAAATTTTTATATTGTATGATTATTTTTGTCTTTTTATTTTATTTTCTTGTTTTATTCGTTTTCTAACAATTTATCATTTGTGTTGAAAGATAATTGATTTTATATTTATATATTCTTAAACTCGTGATAGTATGGATTGCATGTAACATATTTCTTATTCATAGACAGGTCCAGGGTTGAGGATTTAGAAGGTTTTTGAAAAAAAAAAAAATCTTTATGGTGATAGTTAATATTTATAGGTGCTGAGTGATATCTTTGGAGGGACGCAATTGGAAAGATTTTTCTCTTTAGGGGTTGAACTAGGCTATTTTAAGGCAAGAAGCCACATTTCTAAGAGAAAAAAGTTCCCGTCTAGAGGAGGGAAATATGTTGGGGAAAAAAGCCTTTCAAAGCAAGAAAAGAAACATTTTTATTGCAAGGAGTACTTCGAATTTTTTTTTTTCTTTTTAAATGGACCAAATGGTAGCGTTTTAATCCTTGGGATCATGGCCTTGTAGCTAAAGCTAGTCCCGCTTGGCTCTCTCTTGTTCTAAATTTTTTAAAAAAAAATGCTACTTTTTCTTTTATAAACAGATTGTTTTTCTTTTTTTTTATTTATATTTGTCTCCAAATACTGGTTAAAACTTTAAATAATATACTTTTTAAAAATATTTTTAATCAATTATTTCTTTCATTTCATATTCTGTAATAATAAAAAAATCAATAATATTTATACTTTTTAATATATTCAAATGCATTTAACATAAAAATTTCAAAGCATGAAAAAATATTTATTTTTGTGGAACTTTACTACATGTTGAAATTTTAAGAGTCAAATATTTTTATTAGTATTTTATTTTTTTCATTATTGTATTAAACTTGATCATTAATTAACTTAATGATTTTTGTATTTATCACCTTAATTTTTTATAATTGTTCTCAAATTAATATCAATTCTATTTAATATAGAATTAAATTTGATGACTCGCAATTTTAACCAAAGGAATATTTAAAAATATATATGAAAAAAATCCTATATGGCATAACAATTAATAATTGTTTAATCTATATGAAAAATCAAATGAGACAATATTTTTAGAACATAAGGAGTAATGTTATTTATGAATACTCGATTCATTGATTTAAAAAGTATTATTTGGTCTATAAAATTTTAATCTCGTGTTCCATGAAATTTTAAGAATATACATGAGTAATTATATTACAAGAGATCCATATAATTTTTAAGTCTCATATTAAAATGATGATCCAATAACTCGTATACATATTTGTTTTGTTTTGTTTTTTTTTTCCTTACCAAATATTAGAAGACCATTATCACAAACTTTTTAAAAACATATTCTTCTTTTATATGCATGCAACACGGTAGCAAATTGATGATGTACAAAAGTACTAACTAGAAAATCATTTGTTAGTAAGTAAACATTGACTTATATATTATGTTAAAGATTCAATATTTATAATTAACATTTTTAAAAATTTATTTTTAAAATAACTAAAATCATACATGGAAAAATATTCCTTAATTATATCTAAAAAGAAATTAGTCTTCACATGCATGAAAATGATTGGAAAACACAATTGCTGCCAAAAAACAAGAAAAAAAAAGTACTAGATAGTGCTGTATTTGGACACATTCAATAATTTCAATGCAACAAGAGCATGGGGACCTTCTCCCTGCTTGAAATGGAACTGCTCCAGACAGAAAAGTACTGCCCTCAACCATTATTATTTTCTTCATTACTAGGCAACTATAACGTAGTACTACACAAGAAAAGATCAACTTCTATGTTACATCAATACCACTACATGGTACTAGCACGCTATGCTAGCTAGCTACGTTCTACCACTCTTCTAAGAAATTAACTCGCACATTCTTGATTGATTTCTACATGGAAATTACAAAGAAGCTGCAACATACAATGTACTGAAATTATCATCAAAATTCAAATTGAAAAGCGTCACAGAAATCAGCAGATCCCCCAATGATACGATCCACGTCCAAACTATGTGAACTAGTGGTGCAAGATGAGTTGACCCCAGAAATCACATCCCCATGATCAAATGTAGACATGTGATCATGATCTTCGGGCGACAAGAGATAATCAGAAGATGGTGCTTGATTATTGTGGGTCGTTTGATCATGACTAATCGGCATGTCAATAAGATTACTTTCCTCCTTCTTGCAAGGTTCCTGCTTTATTGATTGGAAGGATGGGAAAAGGAGATTGTCTTGTTTGCTTGTGAGGTGATTAGTATTGTTTTCGTCGTTGTTCTTGTTGTTGTTAAAGCTTAGAAGTATGGAAGAATCTTTATGGTGTTGATCAATTGGATCCAAGACAAAATGAGAAGCCTTCAGCAAATTCTTGCATGTGTGATGCCCATGATATGTTGTGCGGTATAAAGGGGGTTCTTCTTGAACTCTTTGCACTTGTTTGGTTGCTTGACAATGTTGATCAAACTTGTGAGTGCACCTGAAATAGCTCCTGCAAGCCATAACAATATTGCGCTGAATTAAAAGAATAATTAATTAGGTTTTAATAGAATGGTAATGTAAAACAAAAAATGAAAATTAATTAAAATATGAATTAACTAGTTCCATTAATTAATTATACCAATAACATTTGAAATTAATGTGTCAATGATATTGAAACTATATTACCTTGGATATTTAGCATTCAGGATCAGTTTCTGCCCATATTTCCTCCATGCATGGCCGTCGTCGGTTAGAGCAGAGGCCTCGTTCATCCATGAGTGAGAATTTTTTCTGCAAGTAATAAAGGATGCGATAAATAATAAAAGAATCATTGTTAGGAAAATGTATATCACTTGATTATATGCTTTAATTTTAATATTTTTTACTCTTATAAGCTGTAACATAATCAAATAAAAATATGCAACTATTTTTTACAAAAAGAATAAAAATAGAACCACCAATATCTAATCCTGATAGTAAATTAATTGTATAACTAGGGGACCAAATATATCGTCCACTCAAAAGTGAAGGAATATTGTAATTATTAGATGAATATTTCATATATTAAATAAATAAATTTCATTAATAATTTTTATAAATTCGATCGTTGATATTATTTAAAAAAAGGAATTCAAAGAAAAGATCCATCTTAGTTTCTTGTTGTAACTAAGAACCTTTTTTTTTTAATTTTTTTGTTTCTTTTGAGCAAGAACAATGGGACCTGAGTCTAAAAGAAGTTAAAATCACAGGGGGCACATCTGGGTAAAACTATCCCCACTACCTCTATCAAGATCTTTTTAGCTTAAAACGATAAATAAATACTAATGGACATCACGAAAGAGCTTGTAACCCATAAATAATGATCGCTTGTAATAAAAGATCACGGATTGAAATTCTAATTCTGATAGAAGCTTTGGGTGTGTGAGTTGAAAAAAAAACACTAATGGACATCTAAAATCTTTCTAATCAGAAAAATAATAAAGATCCTCTTCAATAAACTAATTTGCATTTGATTCTAATATTTGATTTTTATTTTTTTCAAAAAGTTGAAGGAAAAAAAAAGGAAAGATTCGGAACCGTAGACTCTCTAAACCCAGATGAAAGGGCCGGATTATCATTTAAACTATCCCTAAACAAGCTCTGCTTGGCTAAGGAAATGACAAATCAAGAACTAATTAATATTAAACAATAACATTATTATTGTTCTGTTTATTAAGTTGACATAAAGACTTTATTTATAATGATATTAGTAATAAATTACCTTCTCTTGTAGCATCCTCTCCTGTCCTTTACCTTCAACGTGGCAGTAGTACTCCTGCCACTCTCCCCGGAATCCTCCGACTTCCGGCCATCCCAACAAGGTGAACCCATTTGTGTATTTGCAGGGATTTGAGAGACAAACTCATCAAATTCACCTCTTTTTAATATAGAAAGAGTACTATTGAAAGAATTCATGATTTCCATGACAAGATCCCCGGCAGAAAGATACCCATCAGCCCCTGTGGATCTGTTCATAACAAGTTTAAGACGTTTTGCAATTTCTTGACCTCTAACTAGCTCATCTATTGCCTTCATTCTAGTTGCTGGTAAATTTTCATGCCAAGAAGACTCCATTTTTTTTTTTTTTAGGTTTGTCCTGAAGGGATGATCTCCCTAGCTACTAGGGCTGAGTGGTAACCAAAAGTGTGAGTCCAGGTGATCCTTTTATTATGGAGGGAGTGCACTTCATTTCTTTTCAGGCATATGCAAGGAAGATTACAGGTAACACACAGGAAAATTCCACAACAATTTGATTTTACAATCCCACGCGCAATTTGAAAATCACGCGCTTAAACAGAGTGAACCACGCGGAATCGAATTTAACTATTCTAGATTATTCACTTGTCTTTTCTACACGTCATTGAAAGAGCGAGTGGGGAGATTTTTTTAGATGCTTACGATTGTGACCTGATGTCATTTTTTGATGTCATTAAGAACTGCGTCACTCTCATGGAAACTTTTCAAGTGGGCTATTTACTTTTTTAATATCACAATACCAATAATAGCCCTACCCTTTTTAATAGCAAGAATGCTCCTTCTTCTTTTTTTATCCTTTTTTCTATTATAAGTTGTACTCTCAAGCTAGATTATATATCTATTGAAACTAAATTTATTTATTTATTTATAATATTAAAGATGTACATTTTCATATGGATTTGATATATTTAAGAAAATATATAGCCGACTTTATTTTTTAACAATCAGATTTGTATTAAAATATTTTTGAATAAATTTTTTTAGTATTAAAACTAAATCGCTCTCCAATCAGATTTTTAGTAAGTTGTTCGCATACTATTAATGCATTTAAACAAAATTACACAGTATTTCTTTTAAAATTAAAATGTAAATCTCTAAAATGATGGTTACATAGGAAGTACAGCTATTTACAAATCAAGGTAGCCCTTCATTGGATTAATTTATAAATTAGTCCCTCTCATTGCGAAAAAAGAATTAATTTCAAAATTCAATTATTTAGTTTTTTTTTGTTGTTTTTAAAATTATTTTGATTTTTATTTTAAGAAATAAAAGAAAAAAGGTAAAAATTAATGAAAAAATGATATATTATATAAAATAAAAATATTAAATTAATCATGATAGATACTAGTTAAAAAAATTAAATAATTTAATTTTGAAATCATGATGATTAATTAATTTTTTAAAAAAAAGAGGGACTAATTTATAATTTACTCCCCTCCATTGTTGTACCAAAAGTAACCCTCGTTATTTTTTTTTAAATGAATAATTGAAATGTTGGATTAATGGCTTGATTAATTAGAATTTATTTGTTGTAAGAAGAGGGCATCAGGGGCAACGTGGCGATCTAAGAAGACGACGATAATAACCAATAGGTTATGTCTCCTAGGTTTTTGGCTCGTGGTAAAAAAAATAGTCCCAAATCACTATCATTCAAGGTTTGGATAAGCATGGCTGAGCAGTGATAAAGTGTAGTGAAGCAGCATCACTTTGAATGAAGGGGACAACATGGTAAACCATACGTTGGTGGGATTCATGAACCTGAATTAAATGTTCCTGCTCTGAAATCACCAGTGGGCCATAACACCTCAAGGAAATGATGTCCATCAAAAATAGGTGTTGATAAAAGAGCAATGGATGGATGCTAAGAAATAAATAAACAAATAGAAGAGCAACGGTATTATTTTCAAAATAAATTTACTGTATCAATTTTTCAAATAATTAAGTCATTCATGGTGGACCTCAAAAAAATTATTTTTTTATGTAATTCATATTTGATAATCTAAAAATAGATGTTGTGAAGCAATTCTAATGATTAAGAGATATTTTTTTATTATAAATATTAATATCACATTAATTGTGAAGGAACTTTTGATATTTTTTTGCTTAATTTTGATATTTTATTAAATAAAAATTCTATCTCAAAATTTTTAAACTCTCAAAACAAATATTTCTTAAAACTCCATCTGTTTTGTTTTTTATCACACATTTACCAATAATTTTAAGTTACATTTTATTAGTATCGTCTGTTCTTCTTCTAAAACATGTCATTATTTGATAATCCAAAAATAAATGTTGTGAAGCAATTCTAATGATTAAGAGATATTTTTTTATTATAAATATTAATATCACATTAATTGTGAAGGAACTTTTGATATTTTTTGCTTAATTTTGATATTTTATTAAATAAGAATTCTATCTCAAAATTTTTAAACTCTCAAAACAAACAATTCTTAAAACTCCATCTGTTTTGTTTTTTATCACACACTTGGCAATAATTTTAAGTTGCATTTTATTAGTATCGTCTGTTCTTCTTCTAAAACATATCGTTATTTATTATCTTGTTTGATTGATTGATCGTTATTTTTACAAATCACAATATTGAATCTTTGTATCTTAATCGATTTACTGATTAAGTCATTTGATTAGTTTTTTAAAAAATATCTTAAACAACTATTATTTTATAGTTCAAATAGTAAGCAATTATTAATTTCCCGATTAGCATCTTGGTTTTGAATTTACGATGGTCATGAGGAAAAAAAGGTACGAATAATCTATTTATTATTGAAATCTTGATACTTAAAAGTTGGTTCAAGATTCTTCTCATCGTTAAAATCAAAAGCAAAATAAAATGCCTTAAGAGATTCAAGATTGAAAGTAGAAAGTATGACTCGTCATATAGCCCAATACCTATAATAACTTCCGTTGAAAAAAAAAAAAAAAAGAACTTACTTGAGAAACTCATTTGAAAATATTATTTAAAAGAAATAGATTACTTTTGTTTTTTTAAGATAATAATTTTCTCCCGTCCTGGTGGAAGAAACTTCTTTGTGTCTATAGGTGTTATGGTATTAGAATGATATGTTTGAAAAACAAATTTATTAATATATTGAAGAGAAAATAATAAAGAAGGAAAAAAATATCAAAGAAGCAAAACTACCAAGAGAAAATATTTTAATTAAGGCTTAACACACTGTCAGTTTTCCTATTATAAGGGTTAATAAAATAATTTATTTGCAGGGTGGATTTCAAAAAAATATAAAATACATCTTTTGAAGCCGGACATTAATTGTCATATTACGGTGAGATACTATCATGAAACTTATGGATAAAAAGAATTCTTTTTCCAATCCAGGTAAAAGGAAATTAATGTCAACTTTTAAATAATTTCCTTGCTCAGCTTTTAAAAACAACTCTGAGGAATTAAGACTAATATTTTATAAGATTTAATCTTTGAGTTTTTGGTCTAAATTATAAAAGTTTAAGAGTTTGTTTGTTCTCCTACTTCTATAGCTTTTACTACTTAATTTGCTTTAAGGCAAAGCAATTAAAATACCAAAAAAAAAAAAATTGGTAAGAATATTAAAATCAATTATTTAATTTTTGAGGTCGAAAGATGATTTTTGTGAAAACTGGTTAAAAAATATATTAGTTTTTATTTTTTAAAAAATGGAAATTGATGATTTTATGAGTTGTAAAACTTCTTATTTCATTTAAAAGACAAAAATAACAACCAAGAACCTTACGTTAACATATAGATTTTATATCAATGCTTAAAAAAAATATTATATGATGTTTTGATTCTTTTGTTTGTTTATGCTATTATTATCATGACTTTTGATTTTAAGGATCAAAATATTTTTATGTTTTCAAGTAATTTATTTTAATTTTTTTAGTGAAGATCTTGAAGTTATGTTCTCAATTGTAATTTTCATCCAAGCAACACAACAATATATTATCAAACAATAAATGATTTTACTCACAGCATTGTTGGAAAAATTGAAATGAATTCGAAGAAGGACGAAAATATGTAATGTTTAATTGTGTACGGAAAATACACCACACTCGTCCTTAAGGTGATTATTGCCTCCACTCGTAATACTATAGGGATTTTAACAATTCACCTCTAGGATATAATTTTCGCACACGAGGAACTGAGCAGAGCACTCCCGAAATTCCTTTTAAGATAATATCTCTTAAAGTTGTAGATTCTTAAAAGGAAAAGAATTTTAAGAGGAGAGGAGAATTGCGAGAGAATGTAATTTTTTTGTCCTATGCAGAGTCCCCTATTTATAGACTACCGATACTCTTTCATAATAAACATGATCGTTGATTCTAACAGTCATAATCCAACAATCATAATTGTTGAATTCTAACAGTACATAACTATTTGATTCTAACAGTTATAAGGTTTGAAAGTCGTTAATAACTAACTAGTCGTAGCAAAAAATTAAAAACATAATTAATTAAATAATTATGAATTTAATTATATTAAGAAATAAAAATAAATTTCTTAATCACATACATGCAAAGTGCTAAGTGCTAGTTTTGATTAATTAATTAATTATATATATATATATATAATTCAAACCAATTAGCCTAGTTTGCCCTTCAATCCTACTTGAAAAACACTTTCAAATTTTCTTTATAATACGCTTAACTTATTATCTAATTGTTAGATTTCTAACAAGCATATCGTATCATCCCATTACTTAACAATTTAATGTATTTCATCTTACAACACAACACAATAGTCACAATTAAACTATTACAACGGACATGATGGAAGATAAAGTGAAGGATTATGTCACAAGTTTGGGACAATGGTGGTGGGAGAAGTTTAGCACCTTTCTTCCTAATGCAATCTGCTTGAAGATTGTAGGTGTACTTCCTCCAGTAGCTAGTCAAGAAGATGACATGCCATGTTAGGCCCTAACTAGTAATGGCTTGTTCTCCACCAAGTTTGCATATTAGTCTAAATATTTAGCATCAAATATCCCAACAGACAGATCCGATCTGATTTGGAAGTGGAGAGGACTTTCGACTATGCTGTTTTGTAGCTACCGTCAATACAACCCAAAAACAATCATGCATCTTCTACACGATTGTCCAATTGCAGCCTTAATTTGGAATGAAATTGTGGCTAACAGTCATTTGATGCTTTTACTGTTGGTGGCATTCTTAAGAGGCGATACGATTATTTGGTTACATGATTTTTTTTTAATTATATTGGAATATGTTATGTTCTATGTGTAGAGTTTTAAGACATTTTGATTAGTTTGGAGATGACTTGAAATTTTGGTTACTAGTGTATTGTTTCG